CCATATAATCATATTTAACTCGTTAAATATTGAAATTAGAAGAAAAATACATAGAACCTTTCTTGTACGTATCATTTATTCGACTACTTAGCCTAAGTGTTTATTTGGTAATTCAGCTCTAACATCGATGCACGTTGCTTCCGGTTCGATATTCGTTTGGGAGTCGGACACTGATAACGGCAACATGGAACCATGCTCTGGTCTTCCGATAAAGAACACATGGAAAGCTCGCAACGGAATTCTCTTCCATTATCGTATCGAATTTCAACTAAACGCCAATTAATTATTTACTCTTCTATTCAATAGATTAGGCATGACATCTACGTTTCCCTAAGAGTCAGTTAAAGGAAAACTGTCCATTCTCGAAAGAAAATGAAATCGTCAATCAGTAAATATACTGGAAAAGCTTTTTAGTCAAGAGGATTGAAGCTCCTGCGGCCAAAAGAATACAAACTCCCGCGGCCAATTCAATAACAACTTCTCTTTACTCAATCTCCCGGCCTTCAACTTCTGATAATTGTTCCGCAATTTTAAAAACAATTGCCCGCGAGAAAGCTGTTGTCCATCAAGCTACTGCTACGAATGCGAGGGAAGGTCTGCGATAAATACCTCTAGCCGAAAAAAACGTTGAGCTGTTCGATTGTCCAATGCCTCGTTGTTTCCCCGTTCCGAGATAAAACACGACTTCGAGCCCCGAACCGTGTCGCGGCTCGTTTAAAAGCTGACCAGTTTGTGGAAGGCTTTGCGAAATTCAGGGTTGAACACAGTGTAAATGACGGGATTTACGAAACTGTTCATGTAGCCTAGCCAAGAAGTCACGATGAACGCTGTCACGCCGGGTTGACACGTCAGCGCTAATTTCGTGCAGATCGCGTCCATGATGTTGCAGGTGAAGAACGGTAGCCAGCAGATGAGAAAGACACCTGCACAGGAATCGGAGACCAATTCGATATCGATCGACTACACTTTCAAATCATTATTATTAATGAGGGAAGAGAAGAGAACGTACCCAGAACAATGGCCAGCGTTTTGGTAGCTTTGCGCTCCTTCTTCGCGGAGCTCTTCTCCCGTTTCTTTTTGCTCGCCTTGTTCGCTTTATATATCGTGAACCGTGAAGCCGATGCGGCGTTCTTCTTGTCCTTCTTACAGGTAGACGTGGCGGACAGGACGCTTGGCGTCCGTCCAAGCTGTAGGGGCAGAAGGGAACCGGTGCTCTTGAACCTCTTCAACTCTTGCTTGTTCGTCTCTGCGCCGCCGTTCTTTTTCGGCTGCGACGTCTGGCTCGTGGCCGCCGCGCCCTTCGGCGGCGGGGAGGACGACGTCGAGGACGACGGTGCCGAGGTGACGCGCGGGTTCGGACTCGGGCTGGAATTCGTTTCGAGGGTCTCGTGGACCACCGCGCTGCTGGCCGCGCCACCGTCCCCGTACCCCGAATCCTTCCGAGCGTTCTGCGTTCCGCTCAGCTGGGCTTGAGCCACTGCGCTGAAACGACAACTGCAATTCGAGTATCAGTAGCCTTCCTACGAGCAGCATTAGCGTTCCCAGTCACGGCTGGCGACGCTCGATTCTGCGACCGAAACCCGGCTCCTACCTGCCACGAACGTTCGCGTTTGCTGTATTAATAATCCTCGAATAATTCCGAAGGATACGAAATCCTATCTCGTCTGGATTACGTTCTCAAAGAGGTCTCCTATTTATTTTTTTCTCGTTACCGCAAAAACGATGGGGAATCGATCGATCGGGCGTCTTCCGCGTTCAATCAATAGCGGTTACCATTTCAGCTTGCTGGACCAGTGGACGCTCCACAAACAAATGAATCGATTTCACAGTGGACCGGGTTTATCGGTGCTTCGCGTTTCTATTTTTATCGAACATATCGCCGAGTAATTCCTTGCGCCAATGAATTATCGACTCTGTCGGCCGATGAAAAGAGATTCGACTTATCCCGTTCGATTTAAATGCGAATTGGCTCCCTCGCCGGGGACCGGAACCGGAATTTTGAAAAATTATAACACCGGCTATCTAAATTCGCGGCCTCTAATTAAGATAGTACCTCAGATTATCGTCTTTCGGGGGCGACCGGAAATTCATTGCCTCTCGATGAATAGGAAAATACATAGTACTCTTCCTTTGTTCGCGGTATGCCGTCAGTTTTGAATGCTAATTGATTTTAGCGAGACTCCTGCTTTGTTCCTGCGCTATTGTTTTAGTCCCGTTAATTTAGCCGGGGAACTTTCAATGTCCCTCGTTTCGGTACTCGGCCAGAAGGCTGCACCCACTAGAAGTCTGTCACCGCGCCGCTCTTATCTGTTTCCTCACGATATTTACCGTGCCTTATACTTTTTCATCCTTTCCACTTTCTTTGTTGAATTCCTTAATAAGCTCGCGAAATAAGTTACTATCCCGAACAAACTTCTGCCCGTATCGTAGATTTAATTGTCTGATTCCTCGTTGTTCAATAAATACTTTTTCACGAATATCGATAAGTATGCAAAATGCAAAATTCTTCGAGAAGTGAAACAAATACGGACGACGGTATACTATGCGAGTGACCTAGCCTCGAGTGAACTTGTAAAACAGGGACAAGGGAAGAACGCGAACGTTCGTCTCGTGCAATTTCGTGGGGCTTAAAGTTTATTGGATTCTTACGCTGCTTCCTCGACGACGGTGGCCAAAAAGAACTCGGTGCTCTTATCGTTCGATATGACCACGACGGGATCAAGGGGCGTCTCGTCCTCGTCCTCGTTGCTACCGGACGCGGTGTTCGTCGGCTCCTCCATGCCGGGGGCCACGAGGGCCGCCGCGCCCAGCGCGGTCTCCGCAAACCTTGCCACAGAATACCCACTACGTGATCTTAGTCAAAAGCCTCTAAAAAAAGCTTCTACACTTAGCATGCTTTTAGCATTTCTCGGCGACGCGACGCGCTGCGTTAATCCCGTCGGAAAGAGGGGGGGAAAGTTAATCTATCATGCACAAAGCAGCTGTTATATGTATAACCCGCGCTCCTCCCGCGAGACTTCGTTCGCGAACAAAGAACCTAGCTTTTACTTCGTTGAACGTACACCCGCCTCCCTCGCGGCGATTCATATGGGATATGCCCGGTTCCGACTAAAACGAAAAACCAGTAATTGCTTTCTGATCGCTGGAAAAAAGCTACGACCTTCGATATATCTTCTTACGCGCGATGCTAACATTTTTATAATAACGAGCGGGATCGCCGAAAGTGAGTGAGAATAAAGGGAGAATATGGACCCCCTCGTCGCTCACATCTGTGAGCTCCTTCGACGTTCTGGTCTCTGACCATTCTATCCTTTGAGCTCCCATTTTAGGTAAAGACAGGGTTGGGTCAGGTTAGTAAGGTTTAACAGGTTAACGGTTCGCCAACGAATGGGTTCGGTAAGCCAGAGGTACGTAGTTTACAATAGGCACGTCAAAATGGCATTTCCTTTAACTCGTGGAAAATGTAACAACCCTCCCCTATTTCTTGACATCTCAGAAATACTTATGGCTAGGATTCGAGTATTACGAGGTACGACATCGGGTAATTTTATGCGTGGATACATACGTACATATACGGGAAACTAGATTTTCCTATTATCCGGATAATATGGACATTCACAGCCGGATGCGTGGTACTGAGTAATCGGATTATGAGAATGTGTCGGCGTTACAGATTGGATAGGCAAATGGCTGGCTGTTCCTGGGTCAGTTTAAACGGTGTGCCTCTATCTTTCAGGCGCTCGGCCCTCATCCGCGGCTTCTAGTTCCCTTTATTGTTCGAAAACAATTAATACCGATTACCAAAGTTCGGAACAAGCAACAGCGAAACAAATTGCAAAGTTCCGGGCTTTCCGGAATATTGTGTGCAAAACTTTGCCCGCAGAATAAAGTCAATATCCGAACCTATATCCCTTACCCTTTGCTTGTTTATGGTAACAGGGAAATAATCTCAGATGTATAGTAAAAAAATAAATTTACGGATATAAAAAAGGGATTTAATATTAATTTGAAATATTCAAACGTAAAATATTTTAATTGCCAAATTAGTATTGCGTTCACGTACGTACGTGATTGAAGCACGTGTGCGAGGCAGTGAAGACACGGGGTCAGTAGGAAACTAGGGAAAGGCAGGATACAGGGGAAAATGAGGCGCGAGATTATGTTGAATACACGACACTCTTGGGAGAAGACTATAACCAAAATGTGACCGTCGCTATAAACATCTAAGTCTAATTTATCGATGGCATTAGCACGTGCAACGGATCCTACGAAGGGACCCATAAATAATAATTAGTCGGCCGGTACGCCGCCTCCGCGCCGTCGACCCTTTTAATGCCGTTCAAATATTCCTGGCGAGGATTCAAACTTTTAATCCGATCAATCTGAAATGTTTGACTCGGGACGCTTGCTTGCCGCGGCGGGCGGGCCGTAACAGATTCGCTGTGCAAAGTGAAAATGTAAATTGGAGGAAGTTAAATCGAGTTTCTCACTCGGGGCGAAGAAAAAACCGGCAAGTGGGTATTAAATGACGGGTTGAAGTAAAAGATTACGCGCGGTTCACTCGTCGAGGGGAAGACGGAGGTGTACCCCTTCGGCGGGGATCCTCGTCGATGGACAAACGTGCGGGACACTTCGTCTGGAGACAAAAGCCGGCAATTAAATCGAGAACGAGGCAGTGGCCGGCTATTGAAGGCGAGCACGCCGACCCGAACAACGGAAATGAAGCGCCCAGGGCTGAACCGTCGGCCTCGCCTCGACTCGAGCTCTCCGCGGTCGCCTTTCTTTCCTTTGCCGCGGCGACATATTCACGCCAATCTACGTGAGAAATCGCCTCGTTGAAATGCAAGGGTAACGCGCGGGCAGAATTGAAAAAAATTACTCGCTCCAGGAGCGCGCGACACATTCGAAATGAGAGCTATCTGTCTCTAAGCCGCTCCTCTGAATGCATACGTTCCGTTTAAACGCCGGGAGCCCCTTTGATCTTCTCGCGCGCGCGAAACGCCGAGCAGCGAAAATTGAAAATTTCCCCCGAGCGTCGCCGAGAAATTGCGTACACCGAGACACTCATTGGTAAGCGTTGGCGACGTTATTAGTTGAAAATCGACCGAATGCCTCTCGTCGTCGATTAATCAGCCCGGTGAAAGGGTTGTTATTTACACGTTCAGGTAGGTATTCTTTGTTGTCGGTAGGAACGCGAATGGGCAAGGACACTATTGCAAGTACGCGTATGAATTATTGAGCCGCAACAGCGTGCTTGTCCCGGGTACGTACAACGGTAGCATGCAACGGAGTGATTCATGCAACTGAAACACATGCCAACACGGAATTGTTCTCCCTTAACTATCAACGAAGTATAGGCATCGATTCTTATTTGCATATTCTTCGGTCCCGTTCCGACAACAATTTCGGACACGAACCGCGCGCGATTAATCGTTAAACTTGCCCGTTGCCTTTAATTAGAATTCTTTGCTGCTCACGGCACTAATTTCTTGCTAATTTCAGTAATTCGACGAAAGAATTTACATTCATTTCCTCCCGTTAACCAGAGCCGCGGGTCGTTTCGAATGAAATTCCTAGAAAATTCTTGGCGAATTCGCTCGAAGAACTCTTACGGTTTTATCGGTCGAAGGAAGGTCGGCTTACCTGCGCGTGTGGGCGATGTTCTCGATTATGCTGCCCGGCTTTATGTCCCCTAAGTTAGGCTTTCTATTGGCCCTCGCCTTCCTCGCCCGGTTCCGCAGCGCCTGCAAAACGTGAATCAAAGGCATCCAGCTTCCGCGGACAATTAATGACGGCTATCGTGGAAAACGCGGAGATACGTCGCGGGTATTTTTCCCGATGGAGATACGCCCGACGATACGTTACGAGCGATGCAAACGCGGACGACAGTCACACATAAAAGAAAGATATTTTACGCTTTGTACCAATGGATCGTGTAACATCGCTCGGTTTCTTCCTCAACTGTTCCACTATACTTTTACGACGGTCCACGAGCAACATTGCGCAATGGTCGAACAAGCGTGTAAACGCGTTCCGAACGCGAATACTAAAAATGGCAATACGAATGTTAATACTCGTTCCGCATTGTAACCGCATAAATATCGTAACGAGCGAGGCGTGAGCGGAACCGTGCAAACAAAATTCCCTGTTTATTACCGGAGGCATAAAGCAGGCAAGAAACCGTATTTATGATTAACCGCAAGCTAATCGTAAACGCTAACCCTTCCACGAGGCGGTAGTTTCCTCCATATGGCGTTGAAATTATATCTGTACATAATTTCGCCAGTTGCTGGAATATTAACAGGCTAAACGAGTATCACTGCTTAGCATGTATTCGTTCGCCTCGGAATAATTATATCTAATAAATTATACGTGATATCGATGACGGAATCGTGAAGAGTAGAGTTGGTAGAAATCGTGTTAAAAGAGTTCGTGTACTCTACTATGTTGGGGACGATTGGTCCTGGCGAACTTTTTTAAGGAACCCTTACCTTGAATATGTTGTAGTAGAGAAACACCATGATGATGCAAGGTATGTAGAAGCTGGATAGGCTCGAGTAGATGATAAAGTCCGTATTGTAGAAGAGGCATTGGTCCGGTATACGGTCGGGGGTGTTATTCAAGCCGAGAACAATCGGACTGCCGATCGCGGCCGATATCGCCCAGACCAACAGTATCGTCAACCACACTCTTCTATTGTTCTTGTGCTTGGCGTACTTTATCGGCTGGGTCACTGCTATGTATCTGCAATTCAAATCCGTTTCGCGTATCGCACAGTGTGTCTACTATCATGTTTGCTTGACGGGCATTAGGTTACCGCGAGTACACGCGAATCCTCTCTAACGCCTCGTATCCGCGCGTCCCGGCGACTAGTCCAATTTACCGTTCTTTTTGTTTCTCGTTTCTTTGACGCGACGTTTCGCTGCCGATACGGTTTACGGGTACACCGCAGGTCAAAAGTCTCGTCCGGTGTTCCCTTAGTTCGTCCGTAATTTCGTATTTAATTAGAATCCCCGAGTTTCCAAATGAGCTTCCCATTTCGTATGGAAGATGAGAACCGCGTGTTTCAAAACGCTCGCAGCGAGATATTAAGTGGAGAGCTTTAACCGTGGCATGAGAATTACAATTTTTGGTCGTTATTTCAATTTCATTTGAAAGTCTCGGACGATTTACTGATATAATTCTACGCTTTTTAACGCGATTCTCACGTGCGATAATACAATTCTGCTACGCATCCATCTACTTTTACTCTGTGCTACGCTTTGTGGGAGCTCTCTCGCTATAAGGGAGGTTGGCCCGTGTCGGTTCCAGGAGTCGAAATAAAAACGTGGATTAATTAAATCGCGGAACTGATTGCACTTCGGGGGATTTTCCAAAGAGGGATGACACGTCGGACAGATTCAGATTCGCCGGATTTAAGGAAATTGCGGGAGGTCGCTTAATAGACTGCCATTTTTCTCTATCGCTGTATGCATATTTTATCACGCGGATGCGAAAAAGCCCGGGCATTAGTCACACGGCTGTACAATTTCCGGGCGAATGCGTTTCCATCTTGATTCCGTGCGACACACGGTATTGCAAACTTATTTTCAGTACGCGCCATCGATGGGAATTGATGGTTTCGCCGCGGCTTAATGCAGTTCCCAAGGAGGGAAATAAAACAAGTATACGCAAACAGCCGTATTCGCGTTTACGTAACGATCCTTTCATTTCGATTGAATTGTACAAATGCTCTGTAACTTCCATCAAATTGCTGTTTTCACGGACGTCGAAAATTCGATCTCGACCACGAATGCTTCTCTGCGTTAAGAGTTATAATGGCAAAGTAAGAAGCATAATTAACTATTTTAGAAGAGCAAACAGACGAGAGTTATTTCGGGAATTTGGGAAAAATTTGATTCGAACAAATTGAGTCTGGTTTTTCGTAGCTGAAACTCATTTCTATATCGTCGCGGAAGCAACCGCAGTCCTTTTACTCGTTGTCCTGTTATTCCTGTCACGTAAATCGGTTAAATCGGCTACTCCCTTTCCCGCGAGTTTTCCAGCTTTTTTTTTCGAACGTCACTGTAACCGTGCCCGGAGCGAAGCGGACGCAAACGCAGGCTGTACATCAGAGCCCGGCACGGTATCACGAATTACGGTTACTGCCGGTCTTCGTTTTCTTCCCTGGGCGCCGGAGAGCAATCGTTACGTAAACTTTCGTAAATTAGTTTGATTTAAAACATAAAAGTCACGACTCGAATTTCGTTTGAGCGCGCGATAAAATGAGATTTTACGGCGTTCGACTGACGGGCTGCGAGATCAATCGCGGGTCTCGCGAGGCGAACGGACGGATAGGAGAATCACGGACGGGGAATTACTCCCTTTTCTATTTGGAGAAACGAACAAGCCCACCTGTCTATCGAGATTGCTACGAGGTTGAAGATGGAACTGGTGCTGCACGTGACGTCCATCGCGATGTAAAAGTCGCAGAAGAAACCCGGCAGGCTCCACGATCCGTTTACCTGGAAAAACGAACAAAGACGGGAATCAGCTCTTGGCGAAGATTAAAGTTGAACACGCGAATCGTTGCCACTCGAGTTAACCCCCATCGCTACGTGGCTTGTTATCATTTCGATACAAATTCATGATCACCGTTTCATTCGACCGAACAATACTATCTGCTGATAATTCACGTATCCAACGGGTTAAATCATAGAGACACGTGTTAACAGTTTAACATCATTTAGATGAGAATTGGAGGAATTCTTAATTCTTGGGGAACGTGCCGGCTGTTTTCAAATTGGTCGTGGGATCTGCTTAAAAAATTCAAATGTTTTCCCGTACGGGAAGTAAGGAAAGAAGAAGCTAATTCCGCTCAGCCTCATGAAAATTCAATGATGTTTGCGAGCTTTCTTCGCGAGACAAAATAACATGACTTATGCCGGAAACATCCGAACGTTTACCATGAAAACGTATCCGATCTTCTAGAAAAATTATTTCTCGTCTCTTGATATGAATCGAGAAGAGTCCGTCGGTTTTCAAATGCGCGGCGGTATTCTATTATTTCAGCCAGTGGTTAGCTTCGTATAATTCGCAATATTTTTCCTACGGTCTCCTCTGGAACCGTTTCCGTTGAAACGCGTCAACGTGACGGCGCGTTCAGCACCGAAGGAGAAGGAGCCGCGTCGATCGGACCGCCGAGGGACGTTCCCTGAATTATTTAACAAACCCAGTTCTTTCTCGCGGAATACATTTGCCGCGGTGCGCACGGTTTGATTTCATTATGCGCTGTAATTGGAGGAAAACCTACTCGCGTTCCATTAACGCGGAACTCGGGAGAAAGTACGATGATACTTTAATGGCGCAATTACCAAGCAAATTATCGGAAACCGCGTCGGTAATCATTTAAGTTTAACGCCCGGCAATATACACGTGTATATTATATAAACGCCGGCTGGCATTGGTCAAGTCGAAACAATTATATGGAAATCTCGTTGGAATTAAAATCTCGGTATGAACATAAAAGCGATCCCACAATTTTTTCCTGCTTTCAGTGTTTACTCTGCACGGCTCGTCGCGACCGCAGCAACGTGCTTTAGACCGATTAAAGAGCCGCGGATGGAAAATTCGTGCGCAGCATAATTCTCGTAATAATTCAAAATGAATCGGAGTCATGCGATGTTAAAACGTTCTCTGTAATATTTTTTTTTTTTTTATAAATAACTGCGTTTCGGACAAATGGAAGAGCTCTTTCGGGAAATGAATACACTGGAGTCATGTCACTTTTGAAATACACGGCCAATATATTTTCATGACGTTCTAAAGTATCGATGTTGCAACGTCATAAAGTATCGATAGATTGATTAGTCAGGTTTGCGCGCTCTTACGCACGCACGTACGTACGTATGCAAAATATAGAGAAGGGAATCGATACGACGTTAAACTGCGAGCTACGCGGCTTAATACTATTCTGAATTCTGTAATGCTCTCTGTGAACGACCATTCGGCCCAGAACGTGATCGATAACGGTGAGATTGGACAGTCCGCGATTTATACTGAGGCTTCCTTACGCACGAATGTGCAGATGAGATCTTCATCCCTCATCGTTCGACATATACTCGAACGTGCGACGATTCTCAGTCGTCAAAGGATCCTTTGATCATCTACATCCACGAAAATATTCCTTCATCAGCCGATTTTGACTTTTAATTGGACTACAGTTATAAAATGTTTTCGATCGTTAACGTAAGCCGTCTGAAATGCATACATGTGGCTTTTGTTGTCCTCCGAACGCGCTACTTATTTCTGAAAGGGGTTACTGTTTCAGCTGGCTTAGCCACGACCCCGCAGTTCCACTCAGATAGAATTAGTATATTTTTCAATTCGAAATCCCAAAGGCTAATTAAAGAAGACTAAATGAAATCGTCTGGAAAAGCTTTATCAGATGATCCAAAGGAATATACGATCATTTATAAAAACGAACTTGACCATCGCGTCTCATTAAATTCGCTTCCATCAAAAGTGCCCCTTTGAACTGTGCAAGTTCTATATAGAAATTTTGTGTTAGGAAATAAAATCCTGATAAGAGATATGAATGATCCTCTACTGAGATAATTGGGTATTTGAATAAATTATGTTCCACTGTACATATAAAAGGGGTCATCATTATTTCAATTAAAAATGTAATAAATCTGCGTAGATTGCATGGCTAAAGAATATGAAATTGTAGAAAAACAAAGAAGAATGAAAAAGGACTAGACATCGACGGGAAGAGGAAAGATAAAGCTCATCTCCTGATTTATACGAGAATCTCTCTTGGAATACCTTTCGCGGGTGGCGACAATTCTCAAGCACTCTCGAACGTCCCGCTGCTAAGAACGAAACAAAATCACGAGAAACAAAGGCATGAAAGAGCACGGTTGAAATATTTCGCTAACTAAGACACGGCTTCGCATTCTCAGTCGCGAAAACGAACGAATCAAAAACGTGGAAATGTAAATCACGTTCCGCCGTGTTTTAACGTTATCGAGCTCTGAATACGACTAATGAGTCGGACAACCGTTTGACGGCGCGGATTTATGACGACGCGTCGTTAATTACGGCAGTGTACAGTTTGGATAGAATACGGGTAAGCACCGTCGATGTAATGAGTCTTTGTCCCAAGACGAAGGGAAGGTAACGCGAACGAAGTGTATTTAGGACAGTATTTAGGACGTTAGACCGACGTGCGGGTCTCGGCTTTGAAACGGCGCTGAGCGCTAGTCTGCATTCGCCTCTGTTATCCTTATTGCTTAGAACGCGAAATATGCAAAATTCGCTACGGCACGTTTTACCCGCCGGAATAAAGCTCCGTTTAAACTGCTAAACGCAGATTATCATCGTGTTCGAGGCAACAGTACGTAGCTCGTCGTCGTGCAATTCCTATTTCCCTTTGACAAATAATTTCGCGTTCGTACAATCGCAGCCAGGAATTGTGAAAAATGAAAGTATTTAATTAGATTTACAATTCCTCGTTTGAAACTTAGGTAACAGAAATAAAGATAAGAGAAGCTTCCCAAGGTTGAAGCCGGGGAACCCGCGGCTAATTAAAAATAATACCGTTGAAATATTGTGTTTGTAAAATGTAAAAATTCCGCGGTGCAGTGACCGTCCTCGTTAAGCGGAATGGTTATTTTAATCCCGTTGGATTTGGCCCGCGTATTACGGTCATAACCGGTATTAATAATTCCGGCCGTGAACAAAGTGTGCAGGGTAGAAAAATAATGCGTCCCGTCCCCATACGTTCGTAACCGAATAGAAGGAGACAACGTTTTACATCTTCCAGCCGGCGCTTTATTTTCGCCGTATCTTCGCATCCCTTCATCCAGGCTCCAGCCGCCTCCTCCTCCTCCTCCTCCGCGCCCCGGCAGGAGGGTTAAATGAGCCATAACTCGGTTGCGTGTTGCTCGGTAACGCGTCGCCCTTGACAGGAGGGGATTCGCGTTGACGCGCTTTCTAAATAGACGCGGGAACTTCCTCGAGAAGCTACTTTCCTGGATAATTAATCGCCGGCACACGGAATAAATAACTACTTGTTAAACTCTTGCCAGCTGCATCATGTTCGCCGAGGACGAGATAATACGGTCGCTGTTTACCCGTTTAATGATTCGACCGTGAATCGATGTAAAATTTCAAACCCGTCGTTTGCATAATTGGTTCACTTAGCATTACGTAGAATTAATTACTCGAGCCTCGGACTCATTAGTCAAGCTATTCCACTTTGAGCATCTAACTTGACTAATGAGAACATGTATAGAAACTTGAAAGGTTGTTTCAAATCGGTTGAGTAAACGGACCCACCGCGTTCGCACATTAATTCCAGGCTACGCGAACTTAACCCACCCGAGATTAAGCACTTAACGAGGATAGGTTAACAACGCGTGCGAACATCACCCGAGTTCTTTACAATATTAATTGACTGTTTAAAATCTCATTTAATAATTATATCGTTCAAAGGGTTAAACACCCTTAGAGGCGTTGACTCTCGATGCCACGCGTCAGAGATTGATCCTGCCATTGGGATTGAACAGGGTCCCCTCACAGGATAGCCCAAGGGGACCCAGGAAAGGTCAAGGCGAAACGCTTCCGGTCAATGTAAATAAACCTCTTCACGATACGCACGTAAGCATTTATAGGTGGAACTCATAGAGGGTTATAATTAGAGGCAGAGGGAACGTGAACCAGATTTATATTTATATCGTCGTGCTCTGGGAAAGCTGTCAAGAAACAATTATATATGCGTATATGCCATCAATCATACCTACATATGTACCTGTGCTGTCTTCCATTATCCTATCTCTGTCTGTCAATTGCCTTTGCACTGAATTAGGGATTATCTGCCCTCCACTTTCGATATCCTTACTAGTAAAAAGAGTATTTCAATGAAAATCATTTTCGCCATCGTTCGAGGGACTCGAAACACGTTTACGAAACACTTAGGTATTTATGCACATTAAATGCATTCGGAGTCTTCAAAGAGGACAATGGTGTCGGTTGACAGACTGAACAATGGCGAGTCTCGGTGTTCTCAAATCGTCCCTGGACGACGGATTTCAGTCAGAACGTCACCGTCGTCATGTTAATTAGCGATTGTCTCGGGTATTTCGGCGATTCCGTTAATGCAGGTCAATCGATAGCGAACCGGATCCAAAATTGGGAAGATCCGCTCGGGAAGTTTGATACGGTCGAAAGTGAGTTTCCCATAGCCGCGCTCGAAGTTACCGTCCGCGGCATGTTTGCTACGATGCACTCCACATAATGTGTTCAATCGTCGTATATAATGCAGATCTAACGATTATATATGCACCGCGCTTGACTGGTTGCGGGCAACGTCGAGGATACCGTAACGCGCTTGACATGTTCCGGCGTCTCTAATTTTCTCTCAAATTTACTGGCATCATCGAATTAACTCTGTGTCAGTATATTAAAAATCAACGAAATTAATCCATGTTCAACCGTGTTATTTCATTCGATCTTGAAACAA